TGTGGCATATTGCTATAGTTGATTTGATATTGGACTTACTTCTTAGAATAAGTATTTGACTCTTATTTAGGTCCCTCTGCTACTTCTAATATTACTATAGTGCTTTTTTTAAGTGCTCAATTTTTACTTTCTCTAGTGCAGATTATATCATAGAAGCATGATATCTGGCGATTTCAGGTAAGTAATCTAATTAATGATGTTGATCACAAATCCAATCACTTTAAGAATTTTAATATATAAGAGATCTGTTTATTAATTGGATCTCTTTCTTTATCTTTTACTAATTAACAGTATTGAGTTTTTCAAGAGTCATGGGGATAAGAAATAATGATAACAAATTTTACTATCGATTATTATTAGTAGTTACTCAAATTCAAGACTTCTACTAAATACTCTTCAAAATACTATTTTGAACTCTTTGTTAGTTACTCTTTATTGAGATGAAAAGGTATTACTTTTATAGTTTTACTACATTATTATGAATTACATAGTATTTATTTACTAAAGCTACTAAGTGTACTATATTTTTTAAGGATAATAAATCTAATAGATTCAAATAATTTACTAGAGACAATAAATGCACTAAGTCTATCAAGTTTAATAAGTGTACTAAGTTTGATCAGTTCATTAAGTTTGATGAATTGTACTTATTGAATTTTACTATTAAGGTAATGATTTTTTTTTACTTACTATTTTTAGCTATTTATTCTAAATTTATACTAATACTAATTTACTATGTATATGATCTTTGGTACTGAGTTTTACAAATAAGGAAAAAATAAATGACAAAAATGGAATTTATCAAGCAAAAACAACAGGTAAAAAAAAGAAAATAATAACAAAAAATAAGGCCAATCAGGTAGTATCCCTGTGCCCTTTATAATGTATATATATAGTGCTTTTTTTTGTATGTAGTAGTAGTACTTCTTATATGTAATCTTTTTATAAAATCTTGAGTATTATATTTTAAATAACACCCAGAGTCAGCATTAAAAATTTGTTGTGCAAGTATTGTTATTTGTATTAAATTAACAATAGGGCTGTGTAAATGCACAAAAAATAGAATAGCATTTATATATATATACAAAAAATTTTTCATACAACATATTTGTACCAAATTTTTAATGCTGATCAGAGTATAATCAGTATTTAAATATAACCTAGTTCTATACAGAATTCAAGTATTAATTAACTTAAAAATTTAAAGTAGTGTTAAATAATAGTATAAATATATTATACAATGTGTATTTCAAAATTTCCATGCTAGAATCTTAAGACATAAAATTCTTTAATCTATTACAATTAAAACATACTATAGGGTTTTACTGTATATTAAATATTGACTTATACTTACTATATCTTATTGTTTAATAACTACTTTTATTAGAATCTTGATTTATATTTTCAAATTATGCATGTGAATAAAACTTAACATGAACTGTAATTCTTATACTAATTACTTACAATTCAATATATTTAACTAAAAAAATATAATAACAAAAGCAAATATAAAACCAAATAGTAAGAGAAGAAATGCTTTAGTTAATTAAAATTACTTTTGTTCAGCATTTTTTAGTGATCAATTTCATAAATGTTTTGTTGCCAGCACCTGACTTTTATCACAATTTTTTGCAGTGTTAATACAATTGATTGGTTTTAAAACCATCTTATTATGCTTGTGTTTGTTAGCATTTTCTTTGAAGACATTGTATTTTCATCTGTGCTACAAATATGTCTATTATTTGGTGGGTGTTTATGTAAACATTTAATTGTTGGCATTTTAACTCTGTCATAATTTGTTGTATCAGAAATGTTAACAGTTTTAAAAATACTTGGCTCTATAATATTTGGACCATTTTGTGGCAGTTCTGGTATTTTATCATACTTAATAATATACTCAGAAGCCTGCTGTATTAAACCTGCAAAAGCACCATGATGATAACTTAGAAGGTGTTTAAAACTCTGATCAATATGTGGATAAACAGTATTTAATTTTGCTTGATATTGTATATGCCAGCACTTATAAATCTTACTAGGTAGTATATCAGTATATAAATATAACAAATATACTATGATAATGTGTCAACAAAAGGTTCTTGTATATTGTGAATGCAAACATATACAAAAACTAGGTGCTTCAAAATGTATAACATTTGTCAAAGTCAAAATAATATGATTACAAATTCATGTTATAGTATATATATTTTTACTATATTCAAAAACTTTATAGAATTCAGACTTTGCAAGTTCTGCTTGCTGTTTTATAAATGATTTAAATGCAAAGCATAAATATACTGATTTCAACTTTTCTAGCCTTATATTAGTTTTATTATGTTTATGCTTGTTCTGATATAAAAATAATTCATATGCTTGTTTTTGAAATAATTTATGCAATTGTTGCAAGAGAGTTGCAAACAACACATTAATGAGAGTAATTCTATTTTTGACATCTTTTAATTTACTGTGAAGACTTTTGACACATTGGCTTGACTTTATGTTAAGATTTATATTTCCTTTTGTATAAGGTGCAAGCCAGCTTTTTTTATATGATATCCAAGTTTTAGACATATATGTCTTCAGTCTTGGATATTTTGTCTACAATGCTGTAATATCTTTCTCAATTTCATCTTCTGAAAGATTACTATAAGTAAGTTTTTGAAGATTCTTAATAAATTTGTCAATGTTAACTTCTCTTCAAAGCTTATTTTTGATGTTCTTAAAAATATATCATATACATAATTGATGGTTTGTATATAGAAACACTTTATTAATCGCCAATATTAGAGCCAATTTATAATTAGTTATTATCATTGCAACTTGTGCACTACCTGTTACAATATTTAGTACTTTACTTAGTTATTGCAACACCCAGCAGTAAAATTTCTGTGTTTTGAATAGACAAGAGCAAAAGCAAGCAGATATGTAGACCTAAACCAATTAATACTGCAAATAGCAACCAAGAGCATTAAAAACCTATTGGTTTTGTAAGTCACATTAATAATCAAAACATCTTTTCTTACTGCAAACTTAGAAACTGCATTGTGATATGCCCAAACAATTGCCTGCATAAATTTATTATTCTGGTCTCATTCATTATTAAATGCATTTTTTAATGCAATATCATTTATAATATTTTTATCCTCATGCAAATTTTTAAGAAGCATTTTGATCTCACTTAAACCTTGTAACTTTAACTGCCATTGACAACTTATAGCATTGTAAATATTAGGTTCATGAATATATTTTGTGCTAACAGAATTCAATATTGAAAAAATGTCTTTTGTTCTAAGTTTATCATTATGTAGCTTTTCTATTAATCCAAGATCATTTTGATTAAGTTTTCTTATAACACTGCTGAATTTTGTAGCATCAGAACAAAAGTCATAGTTATGCTCCAGGCATAATTTAGTAATAGCAAATTCTTTGTCATATTTGCGATAATATATACTGATAGCAAAAGAACATTCAATACATTTAGTAGTATATATATTATTTGTTTCAGTATATTTTTCTTGTTTTTCACATACAAAAAGTGCTTGCTTATAACTATTATTAGGATTTTTTTTTGTCTTTTCTAAAATTATAACAGAATTTGTTTGTGCTGCATAATTTTCAATTGTTGCACAAGCTTCAACAAAGATTGCAAAAATGCATCTGAATTCAACAGTACTAGTATCGATTGCATCAAAAAGTCCCAATGTATTGTTCATATTGCAATAAACTCTGAATTATTTAAAATTTAATACCTATTTAAGCTTTATTTAAATTACCAAAAAAACAAAATTTGTACATACATAAAGATTCTTTATGAGAAAAGACAGAGCATCAACTCAATAGATAAGACTTTGAACTTATATAAGTTTCTTTTGATAACTTTTATTAATGACTTTTTTTTTTTTTTATTATTGTACTACAAAATGAGAGGCAAAAAGCAAAGAAAAATTTATGATTGTTGTGATGATTAGTACAATATATACTTTATATTATTGCTTAATAAACTTTAAATTCTATGCATTATTGCATTGTATTTTGTTATATAGACATCACAATTCAAAAAACAAATTTAAATAGTAATTATGATTTTTTTTATTTAAGTTTTGCGTTATTATATTATCATTATTTTGGACTTTTACAATTTGAAAAGCAATTTTACAATAAAAATAATTGTCTTTTAAGTTGTGCAATATAATTTTATAGGTGGTTAAAGCTTTACTTAGTTTTGTAAATTAGGATGATTTTTAATCAAATAAATATAAAAACTTTATTACTTTAATGTATCACTATATTTAGAAATTTTTAATTAATATGAACATCTAATATAATCTAATCCTAATATATATTACTGTAATAACTCTAAGTTTTGCTTTTATTGCTGTTCATTATTTCTTAAATATGTAAAAAATACAGATGGTATAGGGTGCTTAAGTGCTTATTTTAAAAATCATATTATATGTACTATATAATTTATTATAATTTTTTCTAATAACATCAATCTAATATAATGTGAAAGGTACAGGAATATTACCTAATTGGGTTTTTCTTTTTTTCTTTTTTTTACCTGCCATTTTTGCTTGATAAATTCTATCTTTATCATTTATTTTCTCTTTTTTGTAAAACTCAGTACCAAAAATCATATATATAGTAAATTAGTATTAGTAAATTTGGAATAAGTAGCTAAAAATAGTAAGTAAAAAGAAAAAGATAACAAAAACTAAATTTGGTTTTTGTTTAAAAATAGCAAAATTCAATAAGTACAATTCATCGAACTTAATGAACTGATTGAACTTAGTATATTTATTAAACTTGATAGACTTAGCGCATTTATCATCACTAGTAAATTAGTTAAATCTATTAGATTTATTACTCTTAAGAAATATAGTACACTTAGTAGCTTTAGTAAATAAATACTATGTAATTTATAATAATGTAATAAAACTATAAAAGTGATACCTTTTTGCCTCAATAAAGAGTAACTCACAAAGAGTTCAAAATAGTACTTTGAAGAGTATTTAGTAACAGTCTTAAATTCAAGTAAATACTAATAATAATCGATAGTAAAATTTATTATCATTATTTATTGTCCCTGTAACCCTTAAAAAACCTGATACTGTTAATTAGTAAAATATAGAAAAAAAGATCTAATTAATAAACAGATCTCTTATATATTAAAATTCTTAAAGTGATTGGGTTTGTAATCAATATCATTAATTAGATTACTTACCTGAAATCGCTAGATATCATACTCTTATGATATAACCTGCACTAGAGAAAGTAAAAATTGAGCACTTAAAAAAAGCACTATAGTAATATTAGAAGTAGCAGAAGGACCTAAATAAGAGTCAAATACTTATTCTAAGAAGTAAGTCCAATATTAAATCAATTATAGCAATACATCTTAAGTTCTAAAACTTGGACTATATCTTTTTACATCTTGATTGAAGCCAGATTTTGATGTATTGAATAGTAGCTTCTAGATTAGTATATAGCATTAGGTTCTTGTATAACCATTTTGAAAGTTGAGTTCTAACTAGAACCAGTTTTGACTTTCTTAATAGATCTATACCAAATTGATAGTTACTCATAACACTGATTTTTTTAATTTGATTTTCTAGCAATTTTATTGGTCAATCAAAATTGGTATACAAAATGTTATACAAAACTGGTGTATGAAAAAAATTACCAT